AGTCCAGACATAGTGTGTAAGATCATCAATCAACACATGGTAATACTTGAAGCCAGAGAAACTAGACACTGGAGAGGTCCGAACATCAGCATCAACAATCTGAAATGGGACATAGCTAACTGAAGTAGAGTCTGAAAAAGGTAAACGCACATGCTTGCCAAGCTGACAGGCTTCACAAGTGGATGGTTTGGTGGAGATGAACTCAAGGCAAGGAAGAGTTTGCTGCAGCATGTGCCTTCCAGGGTGGCCTAAACGTTGATGCCAGAGCTCGACAGTGGGCGTGGAGGTGGCGATTAGGGCCTCCGACATTGATGAGGCCAGAGGGTATAGCTCGCCGTCGCTATTACAGCGGAGGATCACCGAATGAGTGGGAAGGTCCTTGACAGAGAAACCGAAAAGCGTCAAACTCCATAGAGACATTATTGTCACGAGTTAAGGAACGAACTGAAATCAGATTCTTAACAAGTGATGGAGAGACAAGAACATTAGGGAGGGAAAGTGGGGATCGAGCAGTGGGGATATGTGTGGAAGCACGATGAGTCACCGACAGCGTGGCGCCGTTGCCGACGACAATAGGAGTGGAATTGTAAACTAGGGTGGAAGAGGCGAGATTACCAGCGTTGGAAGACATGTGGGAAGAAGCGCCGATGTCCATGAACCATTTGGCCGCTTGAGGAGCAGCTGCTGTGGAATTCACCGTGTTTAGTGCGGCGAGCAAGGCCTGATGGTTCCATGGATCCATGGAGGGTGGTGGCTGAGCGACGCCAGACCCGGCGAAGTAAGCCTGGTGTGGTGATGTGCTGGGGCGCGGGCCGAGCACGCCAGCTCCTAGGGCACGGAATGGCATGGGCCATGCCTACACCATGCCAGTCCACGGATTGAATCCGGGCGTCCAAGCCGTTAGCGGCCTTGGGGAGGAGAAACCGCCTGGAGATGAGCCGTGGCAACGACCGCGGCCACGACCACGCATGTTGTCGTAGTGGTTAGGCGCACCGTGAGCAGTAGATGGTGGCTTGGCGACGGTTGTCGGTGTAGTGGAGCCGGAGTTGCCAGCCATAGTAGAGCTTGATCCGCCTTCGGTGGCGGTGGGTGCGGCGGGACGAGGTCCACCAGTGGCGAGCAGAGCGTGCTGTGCCGCCGTCTTGGCATGCTCCTTGTCGTAGCGCTCTTCCAGAAGAAGGTATGAGCGCGTCGAGAGGAAGGTGTGCGGCGGCTGCTTAGCGGTGATGGCGTGGCGATACTTAGAGCTCAGGCCGCGTAGCATGTTCAGGACTTGGCTCGTCTCCCGCACTGGCTGGCCGACGTCGCGGAGCGCATCCGCGAGCTGCTTGAGTCGTCCGGTGTACTGGGTGATGTCCATATCGCCTTGGACCATGTTCCGAAACTCCGTCTCCAGGTAGACAGCGCGATGGAGCTCATTGTCGCGGAATTGATCATGGATGGCGTCCCAGACGCGGTATGCGGCCGCCTTCAGATGGCGCACGATGTCGCGCACATCCTTGGTGATGGAGTTGTACAGCTAACTCAAGATGCACTGATCAACCACACGCCAGTCGGGATCATGGCGCTGGTCGGCGGTTGGCGGAGATGAGACGTGGGAGGTGAGGCCGAACTTGCCGAGGAAGGCATCAAAGAAGCACCGTCATTCGTCGTAGTTCGGCGTGGTGAGCTTGAGAACAACGAGAATGTGAGATTTGATGTTGACGGTTTGAAGGACTACGGTGGGAGGCGTGGTGGCAGGGGGATCGTCGCTGACAGAGGAGGTGAAGGAGACTTCGGAGGTGTCGCCGGAGTCAGCCGAGACCGAAGAGGGGATTGTCGTCCATGGTTGGCATGGCGACAGCCGTGGAGAGGCAGCAGAGCGGATGGAAGAAGACGGCGATGCAGCGAGGGCTCAACCCGAGCTCTCTGTACCATGTAGAAAAGTGAATGAGAGCCGACAACTCTTTCATGGATCTCTGATGTGTTTATATAAGTTACAACATGTGTTACTCAATTGACAACTGCATCTGAATGCTAGTGTACATCGTGATCACGAAGGCACGCGTCGTGCTCTCGTGGTCACCACGCACCGGCTCTTGTCAGCGACAGCAGGGTCTTGGCGTTATCCCTCAACAAGGAGGATTCGCGTGTGAGCCAAGTGTTTGTCAGGTGAGGCCTCTCTCTAGTCTTGCCTCCTCTTATGTGACAGGACAAGACGAGGCGGTGTCGCGAATCCCGAGGCGGTGTGGTGCCGAGACGGTGGAGATGAGGATTGGCCAGCCGGCCAGAGAGAGCACGGTTGTCCTTGCGTTGCGTGTGATGGAAGGGGAGCTTGTTTTGACACGCGTTGACCGAAATGACCCTGCTGTGGGCAGAGCAATATATCTTCAAATAAATTTATTAAAAACTAGATTTAAAGATCTTTTTAATGATATTAATTATATACTATAAATATTAATATTTTTAATATATATTTAGTCGAAGTTGTTTATCGAAAAACGTAAACGACAAATATTTAAGGACAGATAGAGTAGATATGATATACTACCTCTATTTAAAATAATGCAATTGTTGTAACCGTTTTATAACTAATCTAATGATACTTATTTTATAATACGAATGTTATTAGTTTTCTATATAAATTTAGTTAAAATTCAAATTGTTTGACTCCGCGAAAAACGAGAATTGTATTCTTTTATGGACGCATGGAGTATACTAATATATGAGAGCGATTTTTTTTTTGGTTTTAGACGTCTATCCTAATAAAACTTATGCTTCTTTCAGAGCGTACGGCTCGCGTCGCTCGGCGCACACACCGTTTCTGCCGTCCGATGCTCTCCGGGTTTGGGGTCTGGGGTCTGGGGTTTGGGCCATTCGATGTGCACCTACTGTCGCGGCCAGAGAAGAAGCCTGGGTTGTATCGCGACAGCGTGACACCGTGCCTTCTCTCTCCCTCTCTTTATTTCCCAACTCTGGTGGGCTTAGAAGGGGCTCGGGAGAGGTAGGCCGGCCAGGCAATGGGGACGGCGGGAGGACGAGTTAAGGTTCCGGTATCGTAGGCCGGGCCAAATCGGGGCGGGAGCGCCCATGGCCATGACGACGCCAGGGAGGGGAAGAGGAGGCCGCCGTGGGCGTAGATTTGATCAGTTTTACGTATCCCATAAAGATATGAAAGATATATAACGATCAATACTTATTATATATCATAAATATTTCTTAAAATTTAGCTAACCTTAAAAATATTTATTATATATCATAAAGTGAGATGCACATTTATTTTAGTAAGAGATCATTGACTAAGAACCTTCCAGAGCATCCTATACTGACACCATATTATCCTTTTAACGACTGTTGTCTAACGCCACAGATTGGTTATGGTATAATGATCATCTCCACAAATGACCTTTGGAGTAAATTCAGTCTCTTCTTCTGTGCCACCATAACTAGTCTGAGCAATAGGGAATTAACTCAGGCCTATTCGTTTGAACTACTTTTCAGCTGAGTCAGCATATTTCAGCTTATTCTCTATCACAGAACACTATTGAATCAGCCGAAACTAGCCGGCTTATATACGAGCCGAATAGGGCGTCGGTTGATGAGTGAGTGAAAGTGCGCCCAAGTAAAGAGAGATTGTAATCAAGTTGCTAATGCATTAGCTTTATTAGCTAAGCGTTGTAAATATTTTGCGGCTTGATCAGGATTCAGGACAAGTGCCTGAGTGCGCTTGGACCTTCCTTAAAACTGATTGTAATTCGCCTGTGGCTAACTAATAAAATTCTCTCCTTGCTCGAAAAAAAAAAGGTCTGAGCAACAATAGATACTGCGGCAATACTTGCTTTGTCTTCCCTCGTTCTAACAAAATTTGCTGCATTGATTTTGGTTTTCTTTTTCTTTTAAAATAAAAGTGAGCTGCTCGCCATTAAATATTTCCTCCTTTCTCTTGACTTCAACGGATTATTTACATATTTACCATCATTATGACGTGAGTGGTATAAAAAATACTATACCAGTGACAGTGTAAGATGACTTCCGTAATAATGGTAAATATACAGCATGCACAGTAAACGATACTCCGGCGGCCTTTTGATGATAAAAAGGGCCTTTTCACGCGAGCAGATCAAATAATCCTCGGGCAATCAAATGCAGCAGATTCTCCTAGTCACAGCACAGGTGATTACCATCACCAACCAGCCCGGGTGCAGTATCCTTGCTCCTACACGCGAACACCTAATTCATGAGGATTTAAAAAAATAAAGAGGGCATCTGCCTGAACGCTTCACAGGCATGCAGAAGCAAAGTAGACACCAACAAACCGTCGATTGTTGTTCTTGCCCTGTGCATGTGCTGGGTCGTTGATTTTTCTTTCTAGTGGATATTTACCCTAGTTTAGCTAGGTTTTGGTTTTAGTCCGGTTTTTCTAAATTAACCGAACAAAAGGATTTTGCCTTATTTTCCTCGAAAACAAAACTTTTTCAGCTAGGTTTTGGTTTTAGTCCATGTTCGCTTCTTATGAGCCGTACTCTTTCCGCGAATGAACATTGTTTTTCTCTCACAATAAATCAGCGAACAATACTTTCAGTTATGGCTTTTCAGCGAAGCGAACAAAGCTTATATGGTTATGCCACGATATATCAATACAAATTCAGGTGGGAATTCTCTCCCACTGCTGTCCGTTAAAAAAATAACTGTCGATTGGACTTGGACAGAACAAATATATAAAAACATTCTTCAACATAAGATGAAAACTACTAGCCATCAGTTGCATACAAACCACAGGTTCCACAATAAGGCAGGCTTGCAAAGGACATAGTTTTTTCCAGCAACCTCCTGCATATTACTAAGTACTAACCACCTGGTCCATAGGAACCAGGCACATAGATATATAGATAGGAACTGAAAATATAACTGCACATGATAAAGTAGGACTCCAGCCTACTAAGCAAAAGCAACCGATAGAGCTACTTGGTATGAGAGGTATTTCCAGCGACCTCCTGGATGAGCCAAGGCACTGAAGTGCCTCAGACAAGGCAGTCCTTAAACCAGTGCCCAGGCTGGTTGCATTTGAAGCACAGTGGGGCTCCCCTCACTGCCGACTGATCCAAAAAACCAAAGCCACCATTGAAATCACAACCATCGGATGAAGCTGATGGTGGAGTAGGCATCCAGTTCGACTGTGCAAAGCCTGTGGCACCCACATTGCTGGAGGCTAGCATGCTGGAGCTGTAGCTTGCTCTGTCTAGCTGGAGGTTAGCATTGCTGGAGGTTAGCATGCTCTGTCTAGCTTCCAAATTGGCAGAGCCAACGTTTGGGGTGTAGGACGAATCATCCTTCAGAACTGGGCGCGAAACATCCTTCAAAAGGTTGTTGGTCTCTTCCAGCTTCTTGACACCAATGATGGTGCATTTCACACGCTGCTCACGGTTATAGGTTTGCTCATCGATTTTCAGCTTGAATAGGTATTCACGCCAAAGGACCGCCTGCATGACTTCTGTGAATCTCAGGTCATCTTGTTCTACATTTCGTATCATGAAAAGCTCTTGCGCCGTGTGGCCTAATATTGCTTCACCAGCCTCTTGGAATGCAGTAACGTAAGTAGTACCAGTGTGATCCTTGATCTGACACGAAAGCATGTACCTGTACTCACAATTTTCAGTGCGCTGATTGCATTTATCACAATACCATGTCCCATCACCATTTCTCATCACCTTTTTGTAGCATCGCTTACCATTAAGATCCAAGGAACAACATTGCTTACCATTAAGCTCCAAGGAACAAGCTTGATAACAGAATTTATCAGCTCCCACATGTGAGAGTACAGCCCTAACAGTGATGAAGTCAGGCTTATCTGATCGCCCCAGGTTCTCATCCTTGATCTGTGCAATTGTTTTCAGCACATGATTCCCGCTCATGTTTGATATTCCCCGAGACAAAGAAATGCAAGCAGTATTCTTTCCTTCAGTTATGTACCACTGCTTCAGCCTTTCAGCCACTGGAAAATCTGGGTTTACTTTTAACTGAGTTGAGCTGATTGTGACCACAGATCTACCACTGAAATCACTAACACGTCCACCTTTGAGAGACAGTATAGGGTTTGAATCTGAATCACACAGCAACTGCAGTTGATGTCCCTCTGCATCACAGAATTTGCCCCAAAGGATTATTTCCATGCTCCGAACAGACATGTCTTTCAGTTGAAGAGTTCTTTTCTGGGCTTCTGAGCCATCCTTTCGGATTATCATGGCAGAAGGACCAACTGATGTAACAATCCCAACCAAATCCACAATAGCACCTGCCTCAATGTTCTCAATTTCGCTTATCTGCCGGAAATTATACTGCTGCCTAGGGATGTTGCTATCATCATCAATGCAGACTTCAATAGATGTTTTGAAATCCAGAGTTATTTCATACTCATGATTCAAAGAGTTGAACTTCTTCTGTGCTGGTTTCACCGACCCTTTAGATATCAGGTACACCTTATCAACCTCAATGAGGTCGAAAAACTGATCAGCCTGCGCATTGAAGCATGTTGCACGGATTTCTCCACCCTGTCCATCAAGGAGATCAAAGGAGAAGACATTTCCAGGACCTCTGGAGCTGTTGTAGTGCCTCAGACAGTCTTTGCAGTCACCCTAGCCTTGATCTTCCATATAGTTTGGTATGGGTTCAAAGCACTAACAGGGGTAATGCCAGTATTAGCTTGAGCAGCATTGGCCAGTAAGTTGGTGACCTGCTCATTAGGTTGGTTCCTCATCTCATAGGGTTTGGGGTTTCCCATTATGTTGCACTCACTTTGCAGAACATAAAGTTTGCTAACAATAATGAACCTGAACAAAAGATAAAGGCATGGTCAACTCAACTGACAAGAGGCAAGCCACAGAAAGGTGTCCACAAACTAAAATTGAAATACGATATTCTTCTCTTTAGGAGATGCCTAGTCAGCTCTAGCAGAAATAGGTATTTCAAAGAATTGACTCAAATCATAGAACCAAATAAGTAGGGGACACAATGATTCTTGAAATATTCATGAAACAACAGTAACCCACTTCAGATCTTAAAATTCAGCATATCAGTAAATCCACATTCTATTGATGTATGGCAATTCATTAGAATTCAATAATTGTGCACAGTTTAGTAACACCCACGAGAGTCTACAAGGTTCAGACTCGTCATATCTTAAAAGAGCTACTTCTACGACTCATTTGAATGGTCACAGCAGAACATGTTGTGACAGTTTTACTGATTTGACATGGATGCCAGAATAAGAGCTTTCCGACTTGTAACTACAAGCACAAAACTACACCACCCTTTCACTGCACTAAGGATCATCAACAGCATAGAAAGTCTATAAAGAATAAAAGAAACTTTGCCCGTTTGACAGTTTTCTTTCAATTGAAAATTGCTAATGACAAAGGGAAAAGAGTAAAGTTCATGGCCAGGCCTCAAACTTGTAGGAGCGTGTCATCCCGGTCCCTGAACTCAAAAAGTGTGTCATTTCGGTCCTTAAACTATGTTTGGGTCTCATATTCATCCAAACGGGTATGGGCCCACATGTCATCTCTCTCTCATCTCTCACCTCTCTCATGGCCATGGCTAGCTCATCGCTGTGCCGCTGTCTCGTCGGCGTGCTGCTGATCGGTCCATGTGCGAGCCACCATCACAGCCACGCGCGTGCTGCTGTTGTGCGAGCTGCTGCTGTTCGGTCCGTCGCTACGTGCTGCTGTTCGGTCTCGTTGGCGTGCTGCTACGTGTTGTTTGGTCCGTCGGCGTGCTGCTACGTGTTGTCCGGTCTGTCGGCGTGCTGCTGTGCAAGCCACTGTGCTGCTGCTGGTCAGTGTGCCTACAGCCACTATCACAGCCACGCGCGCGAGCCGCTGTAGCCACACCGGTGAGCCTAACATGCTGCAGGAAATGTCGCAACCCTAACAATATGGCACGAGTCTAACATGCTGCAGGTTTTACAGCACCGAACATCGAGCGAATCGTGCGGGAGGTAAACCAAGATTCAACCTTTCTACTAGGCATGCAGCAAGATAAAAACAAATCTGCGACTCGGACCAGGGATGAAGCTGGGAATCGAGCGCAGCGAAGGATTAATAACTAATCCTCACCTGCGGTTCTGGATGGTGCTGCAGGTGAACTCCTGGAGGTGGATAATTGAGCCCTTCTGGATGGAGCCATCCCGGACGCGCGTGTTCTCGGCGGTGGCGAGCATGGACTGCATCGTGTAGACACCATCGGAGAGCACCATCCGGAAGCACTCGGCGGAGGGGTTCTCGACGTTTTTTACCATCCGCACGTCCACCACCTGCAGCACCAGCTGCAGCGTCCCATTGCCGTCGCCGTGCTCGGAGACCGCCACCACCGCGCCGGGCGTCAGCCACGCCGCCATCGTGCCTGAGAGCCCTGGTGAATCGTACAGATAAGAAGCTAGCATTGGGTTTGCATAAGAGTTTCCAGGAGGGTCAATCCATCACCTGTGGCAGTCTTCATAAACCTTTGGTTTTGATGATCATTCAATGAAAGCTGCTGCATCTTGGCTTCTACTGTGCTCTGTGCTGGCATTGAACAAAAACATTCACTGAATGGCAGATTAATCACAGTAGGTTCTGCCCTTGGTGTAACTGAAGAATCCAACACTCCCTTATCAGGAGAACATGACGAGTTGCTAATAACCTGCTGAGTACATGGCATGAAGCAAGGTTCATGGATGGCAAGACCACCAGAACAGGATACACCAATATGTTGACTTGCATTGGCCTCAAAGATTGTGGGACTGCGGATTAGCATGCACTCAGCGTGCAGTATCTCAAGTTGGATAACAATAATGACCCTGAATGAAGAAACCAAGACAGAGAAGGAAAAATAGTCAGGGAACAGCCAATTATAATTGTTTAGAATTAATTCACGAAACACATCAAGCAGATTTAGTGGGATATGACATGTGAGAAGTTTGTTCATCCAGAAAAGGAAAAATATGCTTACTTCGAGTAATGAACTTAGAATTGCAGGGCATATATAAATGGAGAAAGGAATTTGAACAGGACCAGCAAGTTAGAAAAACATAATAGTTATACAGGAAGAAAGAGTGAGCCTGTTTCTGATAAACCAACTAGAGCAGTGAAACAAATAATAGAAGAACATTTGGCTTAAAGCTCAGACCTTTGCCTTTTAGTTTAGCATATGTAGCGATACAAATATGTGAACAAAAAGTTATTTTCGAACATAAGGAAAGAAAACTGACATGTCGGGAACTCCATGGAATTGTATCATCAAATAAGAAAGGAAAAATGTATGAGTGCACCCATCTGAATCAGTAATGTACAAGCATATATACACCAGATGCAAGTGGGAATGCAACATAAACAGTTGTGTCCATTTCAGCGACAAACTAAGAAACCCAGAACCACATTGAACCAAATAAAACTGATGATTTCAGTTTCACTTTTTAAAGTCTGTTGCAGTAAAAGACAAAATCCATGGTCTGACAGTATAGTCTGAAACAACACTGAGCATTGCGCCTATGGCTTGTACATTTGATGCATCTGATGCATATAGCTCTCCATTCTTTGGAGTCCAAAGGTTTTAGACTCGGTAGAACTAAAACTGAGTATATGAGATGTGACTTCGGCACTACTACTCGGGAGGAGGAAGATATTAGTTTGGAAGGTCAAGTAGTGCCTAGGAAGGATACCTTTCGATATTTAGGATCAATGCTACAGAGAGACGGGGATATTGATGAAGATGTCAGCCATAGAATCAAAGCAGGGTGGATGAAGTGGCGTCAAGCATCTGGTGTCCTATGTGACAAAAGGGTACCACAGAAGCTAAAAGGCAAGTTTTATAGGACGGCGATTAGACCTGCTATGTTGTATGGTGCAGAATGTTGGCCTACGAAAAGACGACATGTTCAACAGCTAAGTGTCGCGGAAATGCGTATGTCGCGTTGGATTTGCGGTCATACAAGAAGGGATCGAGTTCAGAACGATGATATACGTGATAGATTAGGGGTAGCACCAATTGAAGAAAAGCTTGTTCAACACCGGTTGATATGGTTTGGACATGTCCAACGGAGACATCCAGAGGCATCGGTGCGTAGTGGAATCCTAAGCCAGGATAGTAACGTGAAGAGAGGCAGAGGAAGACCAAAGTTGACTTGGGTAGAGGCAATAAAAGGAGACTTGAAAGGATGAAATATACCCAAAGACTTAGCCTTAGATAGGAGTGCTTGGAAAACAGCTATTCACATGCCTGAACCTTGATTGCTTCTGCTGGGTTTCAACTCTAGCCTACCCCAACTTGTTTGGGACTTAAAGGCTTTGTTGTTGTTGTTGTTGATGCATATAGCTCTCCATTGCATGTAAATTGATGTACTCGACACATGTGACGCAGAAGTCAATAAGGTTCTGATCGACTGCTAAGGTCTCACTGCAGGTGCCAAAACCAAATAATGGAGAGCACACCCGCATGCATCTGGTAACTACAAAATGCAGTCCTTGTTGGCAGTCCATGCAGTAATGTTTGTGACAAACCAACTAGAGCAGTGAAACAAATAACGGAAGAATATTTCGCTCAAAGCTGAGAGCTTTGCCCTTTATTATGTAGAATATGTGTGAACAAAAAGTTATTTTGAACTTAAGAAAATTGGTTGACAAGTTCAGAACTCCATGGAATTTGTAACTTCTGATAAGAAAGTAAAAATGGACAGACAACCCCATCTGAATCAGTAATGTACAAGCATATACTCCTATATCAAATGCAGGTGGAAATGCAACATAGGCAGTTATGGCCATTTCAGTAACAAACTAATAAGAAGCCCAAACCACGTCCGACCAAATAAACCGATGATTTTAGATCTACTTTTCAGAGTATGGTGCAGTAACAGACTAAAAACTCTGTGTGGTCTACAAAGAAAGGAATTACAAAGAAAGGAATTACAGCATGATCTGATCAGTAAATTGATATGCTATAAATACAAAACCTTATGCGCATAACCAAACCTATATAAGACTAAAAGAGCAAGGACCACAGAGGGGTCACTGGCACTTTGCCGATTCCATGCAAAGGCACATCCATAGACACAATAATAAGGAAAAAAAAAGGAAATACATTTTTATGATCGATAGCTCAGCTCCTCACTGCTGGTGCCAAAACCCCCAAAACGGAGAACAGCCCCGCATGCATTCCGGTAACCAAAAAAAAAAACACCCAGCGCTTGTTGGCAAGCCATGCAGTAACGTTGGATCTGTCACTGCGCAGTCACAGAAACCCCATCGGCCACCCCTAGGGCGACGAATGAACGTAACGAAGGGTTGCTGGACGCAGTGGCAAGATTTTCAGTAGCACAAAAATAAAAAAAGGCACGAAATCCTAGGCATCTCTACAGTAGTAACTTGTGACTAATGTGGATCCTGACGGACGCGCACAGCGGCGGCGCACAAGAACTGTCCAATGTGGATCCTGACGGGCGCGCTAGCCGCTAGGTTAGGGTAGCATAGAGAGGAAGGAGGGGGCGGGATGCGATCATGCGAGACGGACCGATCCGTCACCTTTGCGTGCGGCTGAAGCCGGCGAAGTACTCGAGGACGCGGATGACGGTGCCGCGGCGGAGCGCGCCTCGGGCGACGAGGTGGTTGAGGGACGCCACATCGCCTCCAACGCCCCCGTCGACAGGGGCACCTCCATCACTTCCCCCCCTCCTCCTCCCATTGCGCAGTGGGGAACGGAGATGCAAGGAACTCGGAGGTATCTTGGTGCAGAATGCAGAGAGAGAGAGAGGGAGGGAGAGAGAGACAGGAGGTAGCCCTCGCAGTCGCGGTTGCAGCAGATTTGTAGTAATGGAGAGAAGTGTACGGTGGTCTGGTTGGGGTGGCGAAGTGGAAGGGTCTGATTGCTCGCCTTCCAAAATATGCCGCGTTATAGATTTGTCGAGCTATAGTTTTAGGGCTGGTTTGGATGCAAAAATTTTTACAAAATGAGTACTGTAGTGTTTTCGTTGTTATTTGGTAAATAGTGTCCAATTATAGTCTAATTAGGTTTAAAAGATTCGTCTCGTGAATTTTGTCTAAACTGTGTAATTAGTTTTATTTTTTATTTATATTTAATGCTTCATGCATGCGTCCAAAGATTCGATGTGACGGGAAATGTGAAAAATTTTGCAAAATTTTTTGTAAACTAAACTGGACCTTACTAAGGCCCAGTTTAGATCCGAAGATTTTGGCAAAATGCAATAGTAGCGTTTTTCGTTGTTATTTGATAATTAGTGTCTAATCATAGTTTAATTAGGCTTAAAAGATTCGTCTCGTAGATTTTCGTCTAAACTGTGTAATTAATTTTATTTTTTATTTATATTTAATGCTTTATGCATGCGTCTAAAGATTCGATGTGACGGAGAATCTTAAAAAATTTAGCATTTTAGAAGGGAACTAAACAGGCTCTAAGTATTTAGTTTACTATTAAATTTGTCAAACTCTCTCGTTTGGCTTACTAAATCTATAGTAATATTTTTTTAACTTTTGACTTATCAAATCTTTTATACGACAAATTTTGGAAGTTAATCAAGCATGCCCAAAATGACGAGAATGGACAACGAGAGCTTACTGTAGGCTCCGAAGAGTTATACCAAACTTTTTATATTGAATATTGGAGGAGTTCGAGACGCTTTGTGAATTGGGTCGCGGATGAGGAGCTACAATTTGTGACTTTTTCTCGAATGCTTAGGCTCCTCTGAAAGAGTAGTAGAAGAGGAGCCATATCAAACAAGTTTTTATTTATAATGAAGAAAAGCAAAAATTAAGGTCTTATTTAGTTCCTCACTCAAAAGTTTACTCTTTATCCCATCGAATATTTAACACATGCATAAAATATTAAATATAGATTAAAAAAACTAATTGCACAGTTTGCGACTAATTTGCGAGACGAATCTTTTAAGCCTAATTAGTCCATGATTTGACAATGTGGTGCTATAGTGACACATGTGTTAATGACGAATTAATTAGGCTTAATAAATTTGTCTTATGGATTACTGACGGATTCTGTAATTTATTTTTTTATTAGTATCCGAACACCCCCATGCACACCTCTATGTGACACCTCTAAACTTTACACCATAGATTTAAACAAGGCTAAGAAGAGAATGATATGATTGTGTACAATTTCATCTAGCCACATTCATATCTTATGCATTGTTGTTGTTGTCTTACAAAGTCATACACCATCACCCCGCTCTCCCCCGGTGGGCCAGTAGCTTAAGAGATCTATGTTACTGTTGTTTGAAATCGAGATTTGTTTTAGGCGTCGCTCTTCTTACATCAAAAACAGATTCGAGTCATGCTCTCCCTACGGGCATAGAAAGATACTTGGGCTGACTGGCTGAGCTAAGAAGACTCGAGC